AGATGTGTGGTGTTATTTCTGAGGCCTCTCTTCTGTTCCATTGGTCTATATCTCTGTTTTGATGCCAGTACCATGCTGTTTTGGTTATTGTAGCCTTGTAGTATAGTTTGAAGTCAGGTAGTGTGATGCCTCCGGCTTTGTTCTTTTTACTTAGGATTGTCTTGGCAATGCAGGCTCTTTTTTGGTCCCATATGAACTTTAAAGTAGTTTTTTCCAATTCTGTGAAGAAAGTTATTGGTAGCTTGATGGGGATGGCATTGAATCTATAAATTACCTTGGGCAGTATGGCCATTTTCACGATGTTGATTCTTCCTGTCCATGCACATGGAATGTTCTTCCATTTGTTTGTGTCCTCTCTTATTTCATTGAGCAGTGGTTTGTAGTTCTCCTTGAAGAAGTCCTTCATATCCCTTGTAAGTTGGATTCCTAGGTATTTTATTCTTTTTGTAGCAATTGTGAATGGGAGTTCACTCATGATTTGGCTGTTTGTCTGTTATTGGTTTATAGGAATGCTTGTGATTTTTGCACATTGATTTTGTATCCTGAACGATATATTTTCAATACTGGAGATAAGCTTCCCAAAGACAGTTGTGTGTGTGTGAAGGTCTTTTAACAAAAAAAAAAAGATAATTTTTGAGACTTTATTCTCAGGTTGTTCTTGAGGTAATATATGTTCTTGATTCCTCCAGTATCCTAAAGTAGTTGTTCATATGTCCATTTTAGAGCTGGAGAAATTGAACCTCATAGAAGGTAAGATTCCTGTCACACTTGTAAGGTGCAGCTGGGACTGTAGCCCAAATCAACCTACCATACCACAGTGCAGGAGCAAATTTCCAAATATCTTAGCCTGTGGTTCACTTTGTTCTCTGACCACAAGTCTCTGATAGCCTGCTGCTGTCATTCATGTATAACTGGCTTGACCCGTGTGAAAAGGACACCTTTATTGTCAGCGTCATTGATGGCTTCCTATAGGTACGTCTGTTAGGAAAAAGAACTTTCAGTAGTTAATGAAAATTAGAATACAACGCTCGGCCAGGCATGGTGGCTCATACCTGTAATCCCAGCACTTTGGGAGGCCAAGGCAGGTGGATCATGAGGTCAAGAGATTGAGACCATCCTGGCCAACATGGTGAAACCTTGTCTCTACTACAAAATACAAAAATTAGCTAGGTGTGGTGGGACCTGTAATCCCAGCTACTCAGGAGGGTGAAACAGGAGAATCACTTGAACCCAGGAGGCAGAGGTTGCAGTGAGTCAAGATCACGTCACTGCATTCCAGCCTGGCAACAGGGCGAGATTCCATCTCAAAGAAAGAAAAGAATGCAACCCCCTTTAAGCAAGTTGACATATCACAGCCTCCTGTTGAGAAATCATATGTTAAAGTTCTTGCCAAGCAGCTGTGCTGGGAAATACAAGGTGTCATTAGAGAGTGGCCCCACTTTATTACCCTAAACTCCCTCCCTGAATTCTGGGAGCATTTCCCCCACTGGACTGTCCTATAGGATACCAGCTCTTTCTTTGCACTAGCCCCGAAGTCTCAAAGGGAAATTCTATTTTAAAAACAAAAAACTAGCACCTCTTTACTATAAGACATAGGTGACTGTGGAATCTGGAATGCTCTGTGAAGGGTACTCTCTGACATCCCCTTACACCAGTGTGTTCACCAAGGGGCTCCCATACCACTGAGGCCTGTCATCAATCCCTGGCTGATGCTGGCTCACTACCTCTCTGGCCACATACCTGTCTTGCAGAAATGCCCCAGTGATGACTTAGCACACAGAAAGAGTGCTTATGAATGCTAACATCACTGTTGCTATTACTGTTTGTCCCCTTTGATCCACTGCTCTCCCTTTGATCTGCAGGTGGCAGCTTTGGCTATCGCAAGTGGTAACGGCTTGTTACTCAAAGGAGGGAAGGAGGCTGCACACAGCAACCGGATTCTCCACCTTCTGACCCAGGAGGCCCTCTCAATCCATGGAGTCAAGGAGGCCGTGCAGCTGGTAGGTCCCTGGGAATGCACCAAGTCAGGCCCAGAGGGGCCAGGTCAGGTGTTTGGGAATTTAAAGCAAAACTTAGGCCACACAGAGCCAAGACTACAGGCAGACTTGACACTCCAGCAGGCCTGTGAGCCCACAGACTTTAGGCCATTCTACAGAGCCAGATGGGTCCTCAGTGACTTAGGAAGGCCCCTGCCTTATAGCTGCATCTTGGCACTATTTATTTACAAGGATGTCAATTAGACCTTCATTTTTTGGGTCACAAGGCAGCAGGAGTACCAGACCTAGAGTGTGAGGCCTATGTTCCTGTCATTGGCAGAGTGATCTAGGGTAAGTCAGATGAGAAACTTTACAAAAGTTTGTCATAAACTGTCATGCAGTGTGTTGAGTATCAGATCATGCAGTTATCGCTATTATTATTTAAGGGCATTACTTTAACTGACCATTTCTCATTCTCTTCAACTGTCAAATGAAGTTTGATAATAATAGCTACTACTTGTTGAGTACCTACTATGTGCAAGGCTCATTTTATCCATTAATTCATTTGATCGTCACAACAGTCCCATGAGGAAAATATCATTAATTATTAGACTCATTTTCTACATTGGGAAAAGCAGATTCAGAGGTAAAGTAATTCCCCAAGAGTCACACGGTGTGTGATAGAGTTTAGATTTGGACCTAGGCTGACTCCAGATCCTTTTTTTTTTTTTTTTTTGTGGCTCATTTGCTCCAACGTTCCAGGATTCTGTTGGCTACTGGGAGAATGTCTACAAGCCTGCTCATTACACACTCAGTGACCAGAATCTGGTTTTTTTCTTATGCCAACATAGTGGTTGGAAAGAGCATAGATTTTAGGGATTCAAATCCCAGCTTTACCACATCCTAGCTTACACAGGTGCCCTCCCTCCTTTTCTTCCTATTGATGTGTAACATACATAAAGTATACAGATCCTGTGAACAACTCTGTGACTGTTCACACACACACATATATAACCACCAGCCATATCAAGATACAGAACAGTCCAACATCCTAGAGGGCCCCCTGCGCCCTTCCCAGTCAATATGTAGCCCCCTTCCCCACAAACTACTTTTTTGACTTCTGTCACATTAAATTACTTTTGCCTTTCTCTTTTGAGACATAGTCTTGCTCTGTTGCCCAGACTGGAGTGCAGTGGCACAATCTCAGCTCTTGGCTCACTGCAGCCTCAGCCTCCCAGGCTCCAGCAGTCCACCCACCTCAGCTTTCCTAGTAGTTGGGACTACAAGTGTGTGCCTCCAGACCTGGCTAATTTTTGAGGTTTTTTTGTTTTTTTTGTAGAGACAGAGTTTCACCATGTTGCCCAGGCTGGTCTCGAACTCCTGAGCTCAGGCAATCTGCCTGCCTCAGCCTCCCAAAGTGCTTGGAATGTGCCACCACGCCCGGCCTTTTGCCTATTCTTGAACTTTATATAAATGCGATCAAACAAAACACACGTTTATGTTGCCTGTCATTCCTTCGTTATGTCTGTGGCATTGATTCCCATTGTTGCATCTAGCAGTAGTTTTCTCATTTAATCGCCATGTAGTGTTCCGTTTACCTGCATGTACTACAGTTCATCTTTTCTTCTGTTGATGAATATTTAGGTTGTTTCCAGTTTTGGGCTGTGTGGAATAAAGTTGCTGTGAACATTCTGGTACATATATATATTTGTTGTAAAAGTAATATGACCATATGGAGAAAAATTAAAAATCAAGAGAAAACAAAATGCCCATAATCTCAGTATCCTCACACAGGCTCGTTAAGTCATTCCAGTCCACATCCCAGGGTAGAAGTTGTCATCAGAAGTCATGAGAACCATGACTCCCTAGCAAGACCAACCCAACATTTCCTCAATGCTGTGAATAGAAAACCAACAGAGCAGCCACTCCCTTTTGTGACCTTCATGGCCTGAAGTAGTGTACTGCATTTAACCTCCATAGATACCCCTTTGTGCTCCTTCTGGCATTTTAAAAATTGTCTGCCCAATATTATGACTAGCAGCACCCTAGTGCTGCCTTCGCTACTTGATGCTGAGCTCTTTGAGGGCATGCCCTGTGTCCTGCGTGATCCGTGATGCGGAGCACAGCACCGAATATATAGTGTTTGATAAGCATTTGCTGGACAACTTTTTGGTTCCCATGATCGGGAGCTTAATTTTGTTTTTAGAAGAAGTTTCACAGTGTCTCACTTAGTTCTCAGAATGTACAGATGTTTATCTGTAAAAGAGAAGCTGCTATTTTCATATTTTGTGTGGTCAGAAGATGTCATCTTTATCATTTTCTTCTTTCCTTCTAAAGGTGAATACCAGAGAAGAAGTTGAAGATCTTTGTCGCCTAGACAAAATGATAGATCTGATCATTCCACGTGGCTCTTCCCAGCTGGTCAGAGACATCCAGAAAGCTGCTAAGGGGATTCCAGTGATGGGGCACAGCGAAGGGATCTGTCACATGTATGTGGATTCCGAGGCCAGTGTTGATAAGGTCACCAGGCTAGGTGAGCTGGATGGGGTCTCCTCTTTCACAAGGGGGAAATATTACGTCCTCTGCAGCTCTGGATCATATTAGTGGAAACAATTCTTTGCTCATCTTTCAGTCAGAGACTCTAAATGTGAATATCCAGCTGCCTGTAATGCTTTGGAGACTTTGTTAATCCACCGGGATCTGCTCAGGACACCATTATTTGACCAGATCATTGATATGCTGAGAGTGGAACAGGTAAGAGTTCCACAGGACTAGTACATTACTTCCTGTCTTAGAAGCCTGCGGAATTAAACCAGGCATAGCCATACCACATAAGGCAGTTTAAGAAACAATATTTTTTAATATCTCCTATGTACAAAATTCCATGCTAAGTACAGAGGTGAGTAAAACACAACCCCCGCCCTCTAGTAGTTGAACCAAACCAATACACAAATAGCTTTATTACAAAGTGGAATGTGTTGTGTGCTAAAGAGGGTTCAAAGGTAAGACAGACCACATGGCACTATGCTGACTGAACTGTTTCTGGCAACCTTTTGTTCACCTATCAGGGTGTTCCCAAACGTATATTATTTTTTGAATTTAATTTGAAAAGATGGTGCAGAAATGTTTCAAACCAAAAACTTATATACGTTCACTGCTTGCCCCCAGTGTCTTTGGTTACCAATATTAATGTACTTAATGCAGTGATATTTGGGATTCAGTAATTTGTAGAATGTCTCCCTGGATTATGTTTTACCATGTTGTTAAGGTTGTAAACAAACCAAAAGCCAATTAATTTCAAATATAAAGTTGTGCTGTGTCCTAAATTCATGCCTGCAAGAAAATATAATAGATGCCCTCAAGGCAGAAATGGACAATCTGTTAAACTCTCTGCATGGATGCATTTTAAGCTTTAATTTCTGATGTCACAGTACACTTTCAGAATTATATAAAGCAGCATGACAGTAGAGAATGTGCTTATTGGCCTTGGTTGCTTTGACTCTGAGCATGTGTCTCTTCCCTTCCATCCTTTGACTGGAAAGGAAGGCTCCAGTTAGCTTATAAATGTGGCATGGTCCCGGTGAGAACTGGAAAGAATTGTTTTGAAAATGAAGCTGTACTCCACAGATTACAAGGAAGTTAGATCACATGATCATTCATGTTTGGGGGCCTTACTTTACTTTGGTAAGGAAGCCTGTTGGTTGGGCACCTGTGTTTGCCAAGCACCACAGTGAACTGGATTAGACAGGAGGAAAGCTCTCCTTTAGCCAGGACTAAACCCTGCCCCCAGACCTAATTTGAACACACCAGTGGTATCCTCAGTCATTAAAATGAGAATGGCCTTGAAATTCCAAATGAAAATGAGTCACTATGTGTACTTCATCCAGCACTATTGGATGGCATAAAGTAAAGCCAGAAGGATGGCTTGCACAGGGGTGGGATTCCAGTCTCCAAGGAAGACAGAGGAAGTGAGATCCCAGATAGGAAACAATGGCAGGGCCTTGGGACTCATGAGGATAGGGCAGACACCACTCATAACTTGAGCCAAGGCAAAAGCTTGGTCCCAAAGAATCAAGGCATGAAGCCTGTCCTGGGGATGTCTCAGAAAACAAGGCTTAAGTGGGATCCAGCTTGTGATTGGGGCCCTCAGTGACCAGCCTCAAAATACTTAAATTCCTCCAACCAGAAGCAGGATTAGAACCAGAGCCTAGGGCTGAGCTGAACCTAGAGGTGGGGCCAGAGTGACACAGTTGTAAATCAAATGAGTAGCCAGAGTTTGAGGTGCTGAAACCAAGTACTAGGTACCTAACCAAGTACTGCTTACCTCTAAAGCAAACATGGGACTTCTTCAGGGTACAGGGAATAGGAATGTATATGTGGCACCTCCCTCTTTCCATGCGAGTCCAGTGCCTAGGTACCATATGTAGGGACTGGGATCTTTATTGTTAAGTATTCATTTTAGTAAAATACCAGAAGTCAAGGCCTTATGTTGATAACCCACTGAATGCCTTGCACATTCTTTTTTATTCTTTTTTTTTTTTTTTTTTGAGACAGAGTCTTGCTCTGTCACCCAGGCTGGAGTACAGTGGCACGATCTCGGCTCACTGCAACCTCTGCCTCCGAGGTTCAAGCAATTCTGCCTCAGCCTCCCAAGTAGCTGAGATTACCTGCCACCATACCCAGCTAATTTTTTAGTAAAGACGGGGTTTCGCCATGTTGGTCAGGCTGGTTTCGAACTCCTGACCTCAAGTTATCCACCCATCTCAGCCTCCCAAAGTGCTGGGATTACAGGCGTGAGCCACTGTGCCCGGCCCACCTTGCACATCCTTAACGTTCAAAGGTTTCCTGCTTCAATCCCTGTTCCAACTGCCTTGAGGGCCCTTTGTTTGCAAGTGGCCAGTCAGATCATGCTGGAGGGAGGAAAGTAGGACTAGTTCTGTTGTCGAGGCCACAAGAGCCACTTTGGGCTGTGGTTTTACAGGCTCACCTTTCTGTTCTATCCTAGAGCTTGCTTATTTCAGTTGTTTTTATGTTGTTGCCCCTGGACTTCCTCTGTTCCAGGTAAAAATTCACGCAGGCCCCAAATTTGCCTCCTATCTGACCTTCAGCCCCTCCGAAGTGAAGTCACTTCGAACTGAGTATGGGGACCTGGAATTATGCATTGAAGTAGTGGACAACGTTCAGGATGCCATTGACCACATCCACAAGTACGGCAGCTCCCACACGGATGTCATCGTCACAGAGAACGGTCAGTGTCCAGATGCTTCCCGCATAGTGTCTGCCTTTGCTGCTTTCTGATCCTGCTCCTCTTAGCCCCTCTTGGCCTGCAGAAAAACATCATTTGAGTAGGCTTATGGTAATGCTTAGTAGTGGTTGCATTTGGTACTTTGATGTCACAGCCGGAGGAGGCGGGGCAGGGATGATTAGCTCTGCTTTGAAGATGACTAACCCTGTCAGCGGCGTTATCATTTAATGCATGCAACAAATCTTACAAAGTAGTTAAAATAAACCCATTTTACAGCTGAGGAAACCAAGGCCCAGGAGATTAAGGGCAGAACCAACTCTGCACATTCATTCATTCATTTATTCCACAAATATGTATGCAGGGACACTCCTGGGTGTCAGATACTGGAGCCTCAGTGGTGGAGGATGCCAGTAGGGCCCCCTCGAGGAATTTACAGTCAGTTAATTGGGGCACCAGAGCAGTGCCACCCATATTAACAGCCAGCACTTACCAAGCACTCACTGTGTGCTAGGCACTAGGATGAGTACTCCCCAGGTGCTGATTTCATCCTCTCTACAACCCTATCAGCTAGGTAATGTAAGTCTCTTTTCACCCAGACACAGAGAGTTTTATACACCTGCAGAAGGTCACAAAGCTGGTGGGTGTACAGCTGGAGTTCAGGCCTAGGCATTCTGGCTCTGGAGCCCATAAGTTGGAAGTTTCGGCAGGTCACCTGCATGGGAGATCTGGATTCCAACCCAGTCTTTCCACAACACTGTGATTGATGAAGCTGACTTGTCTTCTCCCTGTTGAGATTTTTCACAAGCCTGAATATTTAATATGTGAGAACACATAGGGAGGCCCAGTGGGGACTCAGACTCTGCCCTGATCTGTCACCAATGAATGGCTGGAAACGGGGATGTTCTCTGGGTATCATCCTGACTTGGTTTCTCTTTCTTTACCCTGCAGAAAACACAGCAGAGTTCTTCCTGCAGCACGTCGACAGTGCCTGTGTGTTCTGGAATGCCAGCACTCGCTTTTCTGATGGTTACCGATTTGGACTGGGTAAGAAAGACTCTGGTTGGGGAGAAGGAAGTTCCTTATGAAGCACTGTGTGGTCCAGGGGTATGTTGAGGTGGGGAAGACACCTCCCCTTGACTCACATGCTTGGTCAAGATAAGAGAGAGAGATAGGCTGGGTGGGCATAGTGGCTCACGCCTGTAATCCCAGCACTTTGGGAGGCCGAGGCGGGTGGATCACCTGAGTTCAGGAGTTCGAGACCAGCCTGGCCAACATAGTGAAACCCTGTCTCTACTAAAAATACAAAAAATTAGCCAGGCGTGGTGGCGGACGCCTATAATCCCAGCTACTCAGGAGGCTGAGGCAGGAGAATTACTTGAACCTGGGAAGCCGAGGTTGCAGTGAGCCGAGATCACACCATTGCACTCCAGCCTGGGCGACAAGAGCTAAACTCCATCTCAAAAAAAAAAAAAAGAAAGAAAACCTCCAATAATACATTTATGACACGTTTTCTGAATATTTGAGAATTATTTCAACCACTCAAAACATTTTAGGCCACGTGCAGTGGCTCACACCTATAATCCTGGCACTTTGAGTGGCTGAGGCAGGAGGATCTCATGAGTCAGGGAGTTCAAGACCAGCCTGGGCTACGCAGCAAGACCTCCTCTCTACAGAGATGAAAAAATTATCCAGGTGTGGTGGCGTGAGCCTGTAGTCCCAGTTACTCAGGAGGCTGAGGCAAGAGGATCCCTTGAGCCCAGGAGTTCGAGGCTGCAGTGAGCTAAGATGGTGCCACTGTACTCCATCCTGGGAGAGAGTGAGGCCCTATCTCTATAACAAAACAAAACAAAAAGACACACATTTTAATCCTTCTGAACTTTTTGAGTAGATGATCTGCCTGGAGAAATAGTTCTCACCGAATTGTTAAAGATTATAAAAGGGAATTTAACTCAGTTATTCTTAGTCATTATACTCTTTATTTTTAGTTCCCCATTTCTTTTATGTTGGGATTTGATGTAATTATCACATCACTTGCACTGATCTTTATACTCATGTACTTGAAAAAGAAATAGCAATATATTTTTAAGGGCTGGGGCACCCAGCATTCAAATGAAAATCCAGGATGAGGGAAGAACGAAAGACCATTTCATTGTCCTTCCAACACCAGCTCAGAGTGAAAGCTGGTTGAGTTAAATTCCTTGTGAAATGCATTAATGACAATAGAGATTTTATTGAGCATTTACTACATTCCCAGCACTGTGCTAAATGTGTCAGAAGCATGCTCTCACTTCATTCTACAAAATGAATTCTTTTTCCAGATGAAGAAACTGAGGCATGAAGTTAGGTAGCGTGTCCAAAGTCATGTGGTCTCTATGCTATTGAACCAGAATCTGAATCCTGCTGGTTTCACTCTCCTTGCCAACCACTACCCCAAGCATATCCCACCCTCGCTGCATTTCCTACTTGCTCTTCTCTCTGCCTGCAGGACCTCTGGTTTTCTCCAGCCAGCTCCTTCTCACTGTTCAGGTCTCAACCAAAAGGCACTTCTTTAGGGAGGCTTTCCCTGACCACCCTTCCCAGCGTGTCCCTAACTCCACCACACAGCCTCTGTCATAGCACCCATCACTGCACTTGAGCACCACAGGAAACTATTTACTCACCTGTCCTTTGGCTGCCTCACCCACTATAATATCAGCTCCACGAAAACAGGGCCTTGTATCTATTATTCACCACTTTATCCCCAGGGCTCAACACAGTGCCTAGTACATAGTACATGCTCAGTAAAGTGATAATGAGGGAACCCTGCCTCCACTGTATACATTGTAGAACACCAAGCCAGGCCCAGGAAAACCCCTGACGTTCCCTAGGTCTGAGCTGGGAGCAAGAGGAAAGTGAATGAACAGTAACCCTTTGATGTATTCAGTAACTGTCTAATGAGTCCCCTATGCTAAGACTTCTAGGGGATACCAAGAGCATGTCCCTTTCTTTCTAAGATTTAAAGAGTATTTGAGGAGGAGGTGAAACCATTTTGGTAAATGTTGTCGTACCCCCAAAACATGCTCAAATGTCAAAATATGGTATGCAATTCAGATGCTAAACTGATATCAGAGACAGCACTTGTATTAATAGCATTGTCAAAATGCACTGGGGATAAAATACAGAAGAGGGGTTCACACACAGTTTCACGAGAAGGGGTGTATCATGATTTATAGTAATCGGACGACATGTTTATGGGAACAGGATGACTCAGCTGTCCTGGGGAGGATGGCTGAGGAGTTAGCAGGAAGAGAGGGTACCAAGTGAGGGGGAAGCAGCAGGGTGGGTCTGGAGCATGGACAGGAAGCAGAGGCTGGGAAAAGCTACATCTTTTATTCATGCTTTTTCACAGGAGCTGAAGTGGGAATCAGTACATCGAGAATCCATGCCCGGGGACCAGTAGGACTTGAGGGACTGCTTACTACTAAGTGGCTGCTGCGAGGGAAGGACCACGTGGTCTCAGATTTCTCAGAGCATGGAAGTTTAAAGTATCTTCATGAGAACCTCCCGGTTCCTCAGAGAAACACCAACTGAAAAGAGCCAGGAAAACCCGGGAATGTTCCAAAAGGTCTTTGCAGTTAAACTTGTCTTATCTCAGGAGAGAGCCCACTCTTGTCTCCCAGTTCCTGGTAGGGTCTGCCTGTTGGAAAGTGTACTTGGATGCTTCTGGGCTCCGTTTGGCAATAGCAGTCTTGGCTGATGGGCGCAGTCTGGCTCCCAGCTCACCCTTTTTTTTTTTTTTTTTTTTAAGTAAGAAAATAATTGCTACCAATAGAGACTTTGCCAAGTCCAATTATCTTCTAGGATTGAAAGGTGCATTTTCCCCATATAAAAGGCGAGGAAAATCCATGGCTGCTTTGTATTACCTCAGTGAGTTACAGCCCCCCTTGGCATTTAGTTGGTACTAGAGCCAGTCATCCTTAACAAATCTTTTCACATTTTATTTCTTTCACACATAGTCATCTTCAAAAAGGAAAAAGATTTGGAATTTTAGAAGAGGGGCAACTCTTCTTTTTAGCATTCTCATCAGAAAGTCACAAAAATAGACGGAATCATTTCCACTGGGAAGATTGACCTTTTGTATTTATTTGTGGGGTAAATTAATAAGCATTCCAGATGCTTGCAGCTTCCTGCATCCAGGAGATGCTGTGTTCCCCGTGATGCAGCTGGAAGCTGAGCTGCAGACAGGAGGTGCGAGTTTCAGGATGTTCCCCACTGAGCCGGAGGAATAGCTACGGCAGTGATGCTTGAAATTTTTGTATGAATTATTTTGTCGTCCTACCCTTTTCCTCCAAAACAAAAATTAGAGGATTATTTTAATACTTTGGATTCTTCCCCCCTTTTTGAGAAATAAAGTTTTTTATGAAAAGCCTGTGCATGATTAAAGTTTTCTCCCTTATTTGTCATTACCCCCTTCTTTTTCCTCTCTTGTGACCCTTGTGCCCTGCTTGCGGGCATGTTCTCTTCTCTTAAAGCTGTCTGGGGAGACAAGACATCTGCCTCAACAGTGTTTGTTGGTGGAAGCAACATAGGCAAAACCCACAGAGGGACTCAGATGGGGAGAGAAGAAAGGAAAACAGGAGATTAAGCCCCAAGAGCTTGAAGACTAAAAGTGCGGTGAGGGTCTGAAGTTGGTGGGGTCCGACCTGAGCGAGCTCCCACCGTGGCACATAGCCCCAGCTGACATCCTTAGTTCACTGCATCCCCCAGCTCCTCCCTGCCCGTCTTGTTGCCTCAGGATCACCTGACAGTTCAGACCCTCCCCACTCTCCCTCCATTTAGCTCCTGTCCTTAGGGCCCCTGGTGCCTGACAGTCTGCAGTTGAAAGATTTCTTGTCTCATGGGGGCCTCCTAAAGAAGTAAGCACTCGCTTGCAGTGCTGTTGCGTTTCCTCTGGGGATGTTTCACCAGCACAAGAATGATGGTGTGGTGTGGAACATGTTCCCAGGCTGGCTGCACAGCCTGCCTCTCATCCAGACCCTTACATGGTCTGGCAAGTCACCCTGACTGCCCTGCCCTCTGGATGGGAAGTTCTGGCATAGCTTGCCTGAAAAGGCTATAAACAGCCCTGTCTGAAACTGTCACAAACACCACAATGAGCTCCCAACCAGACAACAAATGCCCAGGTATCTTAAATAGAAGGCAGCCTAAGAGAGCTGGGGCCCTTGGGGAAGACCACTGAGAAGGCAGGCCTGCATCTGGGCCCTGAGAAAGACCACTATCATCAGACAGAAACCCCAAGTTTCACTCATTAAACTGGCCTGCATCAATCATTGCTGTAAATGCACACATTGAGTTTAACTGCATCCCACAGAAACTTCAAAGAATTGGGGCTTGAACTTGATCATTCCTTCTTCTCATGTAAAAAGAGCTCTGGAAGTAGGCAGCTTCAAGGCTGAGGTAATGCCTCCATGAAGGCCATCAGGCACTGGGGCTGCTTTTGGTTTATGCTCTTCTGTCCTAGGGCAAGGCTCTTGTCCACATGGTAGTGGCATTCCAACCATCAGGACTGCATTCCAGCCAGCAGGAAGAAGGAAGAACCATAGGCAGAGGAGTGTCTGCCCGCTGCCCCTTCTAAGTGACATCCGCTGCCCCTTCTAAGTGATGTTCCAGGAAGACCCCCGCAGTGGCTTGACCAAAACGAGCTCATGGCCTCCCTTCTCTAAAAGGGATCTGGGAGGTGTAGCTTTTTTATTTGGGCACACTGCAGCTCCAAGAAAGTAAGGGTGCTATTGGTAAGGGAGGAGGAAAATCAGATAGGGGAAGAAGATTATCCTAATTGATTCGTGGAGCTGAGAGCAGGATTCATTCACCTAAACAGTATGGCTGCTGGAGAACAAAAGAGGGCTGGGATGGTGGCCAGAGAGGTAGCCACAATGTCCCACTGCACTGCCTCACAGAAAGGAAATGGAAAGGAGAGGTGAGCAGACACTAAAGATTCATGGTGCTATTTGCAGCCCAGTGTAATGGAGGGAGCACTGAACTGGGACTCCAGAATTTTTTTTCCAGCTCTGTCACTGACTGGCATTATGACCTTGGGTAACTAAACATTTTTGCCTCAGTTTCCACACTCACAAAATGGGAGCTTGGATAAGCTTCCTAGTGAGATGGGGGTATGGGAGGCTCTTCATCACTAAATTGCAAATTAGCTGAACAAAGTATTTTTTTGTGACAGCCATAGCTGGCCAAGTCTTTGGTAGGCATTGAAAGCTAAACACAACATCACTGACCCGCTCTTCTCCACGCACACACACCCCTCTGCTATTTGCTGGATTTGTGAACCTCAGACTACTTCAAACTGTGGTTCAAGGATCATTGTAACAGAATGACCACAGAGGCTAGCTAAAACTGTAGATTCCTGCACCCAGATCTGCTGAGCCAAAATTTCTGAGGATGGGGCAAGGAATTGGAATTTTTAGTAAGCCCCTTATGTGATTTATCCCAGCATTACCACTACTGTAAGTAACCTGAGAGTTTTGTTTTTCTTCCATAATGAGAAGTCCAGAAGTAGCTCAAGACCAACAAGGCAATTCTGATGCCATTAGGAACCCAGACTCTTTCCAACTTTCAGCCCTGACATTCTTAACTCCGCAACTTCCCTTGCACCACGATGGCTGTTCCATCTCCACACCTGTGTTCCATCTATGTCCCAGTCAGGAAGAAGGGCAGGGGAAAGAGGCGTGCACAGCTGAGTTCGCCCAACACACCCACATTCAAAGAGCTTTCCTGGAAGCTCCAGTCAGTCACTTCCCTTATATCTCATCAGGAGGAACTGTTTCTTGGGGCCACGTGAACAACTATAGCTGCGAGGAGGCTGGGAAATAGAGTTTTACAGCTGGGCACATTCCTGCTCAAACAAAAATCATGATCCTCTTTGTGAGGAAGAGAAGATAAAAATCAGGTAAGCTACTACATTAGGGGGTAGCCATGTTAGGTACAATTACCCCTAGTGACTTTCCGAAGAGTAGATTTTCTTGGAAGGCTCTTTTATTCCCTTGAGCTCATTGATAAGTTTTGTAATGCAGGTTTATATGGGAAAGCTAAAGTGCTCCGTGAGAGATGGAGAAAAGACAAAATTCCCAGGCAGTTTTGGAGAGGAAAGAGTAAGTCGTAGGCCGGTGCAGTGGCTCATGCCTGTAATCCCAGCACTTTGGGAGGCCAAGGTGGGTGGATCACCTGAGGTCAGCAGTTCAAGACTAGCCTGGACAACGTGGCGAAACCTTGTCTCTACTAAAAACACAAAAATTAGCTGGGCGTGGTGGTGGGCGCCTGTAATCCCAGCTACTTGGGAGGCTGAGGCAGGAGAATCTCTTGAACCAGGAGACGGGGTTTGCAGTGAGCCGAGATCGTGCCATTGCTCTCCAGCCTGGGCGACAAGAGCGGAAGTCCGTCTCCCAAAAAAAAAAAAAAAAAAGAGTGAGTTGTAGACTTGCCCTAGGCAGAGGCTACAAACTAAGGGTCAGTAGGAAATTAGGCTAAAGAAAGCTAAATGTAAGAAACAAAGTATAGGAAAAGCCATCTGTTTTTAAACTGATGGCTTGATGGAGGTTGTTATGTTGTTATGGACTGAATGTTTGTGCCCTTCCCAAATTCCTCGTTGAAGCCCTACCCCTCAATGTGATGGTGTTTGGAGACGGGGCCTTTGGGAGGTAATTAGGGTTAGATGACGTCATGAGGGTGGGGCCCTCATGGTGGGATTGGTGCTTTCGTAAGAGATGGCATGTGTCTGAACAAACTGTTGGGTAAACATGTCTCTCAACAAACTGTTGGGTAAAAAGTAAAATAAGAGATACTAGAGACCTTGACCTCCCGTCCTTCATGTGAGGACACAGTGAGAAGACAAAACAGTCTCCTGCAAGCTAGGAAGCAGGGCCCTCACCAGGAACTGAACTGGCCAGCACCTTGATCTTGGACTTCCCAATCTCCAGACTGAAAAATAAATTTCTGTTGTTTGATCCACCTAGTCTATGATATTTTGTTATGGCAGCCCAAGCAGAAAAAAACAGACGTAATTGTCTTGGAGGTACCTGCATTTTAGAAAAGGAGTCCTCATATTTCAAAGAATTGGCCAGAGTGGCATAGCGGAAAGAGTATGCGTTTGGGAGTGATATGACTTGCACTGCCATCTATAAATTGTAGGAACTTGCAGGATTGTTTTTTGCTGCAATGAGCCTCAATTTCCTTATTTGGAAAAAAGTAGACAGCTAATACTTACCTTGAAGATTCCTGTCAGTAAATAATCAGGTCATGGACTGGACACCTAGCTCATGGAAGAAGCACCATCCATGTTGGCCACAATTAGCCACATCTGGTATATCTGTCTTTGTATCCCCCACTGAGCCTAGCAAGGCATAATGCACACAGATGTTTACTGAGTAGCTATTGAAACAGGCTACTTGGGCAGAGCTATTGAGGTGGAGGGGGCTTTCTCTGAGATCCATGGACCATTAGGACGCTGGTATGAGGCTGGCAGTCTAAAAGGATCATGTCTTCCCTGACTCCAACTTATTTCTAAACCATTGAGGAGTATCATTGTTCTCTCTTCCTTATGAAAGTGCCCCGTGGAGTCTCCTGTAGTAGACATTGAGTTAAAAGTTACAATGTCTTTTTCACTGGCACTTCTGGCAAAAATCGATGAATAACTTCATAACCACTCTTAAGGGCACCTCATGTAAGTTTGCAGATCTCTGCTATTTTGCAGAACTCTGCTATTAGTGAGAATGAGATTTTAAAGCCTCATTCAGTATCCAGTGAGCACCCACTACGTGCCAGATGCTGGAGATAAGAGACATTTCCTCCACCTGATGGTTCAAACTTTGATCTGTCTGAGAATTGCTGCTCTAAACTCAGGTAATTCTTATCCTTAACTCCTGCCCGTTACTGGCTATTTTACCCTACTCCCTAAGAGAAATCCTTTGGCCAGTAGGAAAACACCAAACTAGATAGATATGATCCCATGCTGAAGGCAGAAGGGTTCACCATAACCTAAGAAAATCAACTCACTCTTTATTCCATCTGGCCCCAGGATTCCTCTAACGCTAGAGGGCAGTCGGGTCCCATAGACCTAAGGAAGTCGGCCTGCTCTTCATCAATGCCCAGCAAATTATCCCCTCCCCGTCCTCAGGCTGCTCTCCTGGAAATGAAGTGCTGATCAGTAAAATAACTTCCAGAGATCCTCTTTCCTACAGGGTAAGAACACAGGCCTTTTCAGTTTAGAGGCAGAATAGGGTTTGGACCTTGATTCTAACACCTACTAGTTGTTTGACCTGGGGAAAGTGTCTTAACTTCTCTGAATTTTGATAATATGTATCCATAAATGGTTTTGCGAGAGTAAATGTAAAGCACTCAGCACAGTATTCAGCATGTGGTTAACCTTCAGTAACTATTGGCTGTTACTATTAGTGATTGTCAGGAATGACTTTCTCTTAGTTCTTGACATTGCTTTTTTTCCCCTTTGAGACAGGGGTCTCACTCTAAAACCCAGCCTGCTCTCAAACTCAACTCCTGGGCTCAAGCAATCCTTCTGTCTCAGCTCCTGAATAGCTAGGGTTACAAGTGCATGCCACCGCACCAGGCCCTACATTTCTCTTTTATTTAAAGTCCAAGCATCAATTCCTAGGACATAAAGTGAGGACATTCTTAAGACAGATCTACTATGTACTAAGCATCATAGTAAGGGGGCCAGATGAATTATGTATGATGCCACAATAATATGAGTGAGGGAATTGTTACCCCTATTTTACAGGTATAGAACCTAAAGATCAGTAAATTGCCCAAGATCACACTGTAGTGGAGGAACCTGGATTCGAACCCAAGACAACAGAGCTTCAAAACTCTTCACCACAGGGGGCATAGCAGTAGTGTTTTCCCAGAAGCTTCTTGTACCTGATCCCAAAGGCAAGTTGTGAGGCTGAAGAAGGAGGTTGCCACAGCTACTAACTGGACCCCTTTTCACGTAATCAGATCCTTGGTCTGCTCCAGTTTTGCAAGAGGAGCCACTTGTCTGGAAACTCTCCTCAACACCTGCCCCTGGAGGGAGCCGACTGTGCCTGAATTATTTAGAGTCTCTAGACACTTGATATAATGAGCAGGTGTGGATGCTTCGCTGAATTCCCCAACATGCCTTTACTTACCTCCTTTCCCCTCCCCCCAGTTGCCTATGAGGAAAAAGGAGGCATCATCCTTTTCCTCACTGTAGATGTGTATGCCTCGTCCTTCATTTTTCATCCCGAAGTCTATTTGTAAGAAGTGGACCATTTTCCTTGCAAATATCAAAAATCATGTTGATTTCCATTGAAACTGGTAGTGTAAATTGACCCTAACTAGTAAATGCGTAAATTGGCCAGGAGTGGTGGCTCATGCCTGTCATTCCAGCATCTTGGGAGGCCAAGGCAGGAGGATCACTTAAGCCCAGGAGTCTGAGACCAGCCTAGGCAATATAGTGAGACCCTGTCTCTAATTTTTTTATATTTTTTATTTTTTTTTGAGACTGAGTCTCGCTTGTTTCCCAGGCTGGAGTGCAGTATCACGATCTCGGCTCACTGCAACATCTGCCTCCCGGGTTCAAGTGACTCTTCGGCCTCAGCCTCCCGAGTAGCTGGGACTACAGGTGCATGCCACCATGCTCGGCTAATTTTTGTATTTTTAGTAGAGACAGGGTTTCACTATGTTGGCCAGGCTGGTCTTGAGCTCCCAGCCTTGTGATCCACCCACTTCAGCCTCCCAAAGTGCTGGGATTACAGGCATGAGCCACCGCTCCCGGCCAAAATTCTTGTTTTTGAAGAATATTTACTGACATAGAGAAGAAACGCACTAGAAAATATTGAATAGGGAAAAACTAAGCTATAAAACAGTATAATTAAAAATTCTCAATTATACATATTTAGTTAGAAAAAGACTGAAAGACAATGTATCAAATAATATTATGGGCTGGGCACAGTGGCTCACAACTGTAATCCCAGCACTTTGGGAAGCTGAGGCTGGAGGATCACTTGAGGACAGGGGTTCAAGACAAACCTGGGCAACATATCAAGACCCTATGTCTACAAAATTTTTTTTTTTTACTTAGCCAGGCATGTTATGTGTACCTGTAGCCCCAGCTACTTAGGAGACTGAGGCAGGAGGGTCTCCTGCACCCAGGAGGTTAAAGCTACAGTGAGCAATAATCAAGCCACTGCACTCCAGCCTGGGTGACAGAGTGAGACCCTGTCTCAAATTTAAAAAAAAAATTATATACACACACACACACACACACACACACACAACAGAGAGAGAGTCTCACTCTGTTTTCCAGGCTGGAGTGCAGTGGCACAATCTCGGCTCACCACAACCTCTGCCTCCCGGGTTCAAGTGACTCTCCTGCCTCAGCCTCCCGAGTAGCTGAGACTACAGGCACACGCCACCATGCTCGGCTAATGAGTGATTTCTACTGAGCAGTGAGACAAGTGAGTTTTATTTGTCATTATACTTTTCTAAGTTTTCTACTTTATTTTAAAATTTTCATAGCTAGTAATATTTCTTTCTATGGGAAATTATTGGTGCAGGCCAGGCATGGTGGCTCACACCTGTAATCCCAGCACTGACTGGGAATCCTAGGCAGAGGATTGCTTGAGCCCAGGAGTTTGAGACTAGCCTGGGCAATATGGTGAGACCCTGTCTCTACAAAAAGAAAAATAATACAAAAAGTAGCTGAGCATGGGCCAGGCATGGTGGCTCATGCCTATAATCCCAGCACTTTGGGAGACTGAAGCGGGCAGATCACAAGGTCAGGAATTTGAGACCAGCCTGGCCAGCATGGTGAAACCCCGTCTCTCCTTAAAAAAATACAAAAGTTAGCCGGGCATGGTGGCATACACCTGTAGTCCCAGCTACTCGGGAGGCTGAGGCCGACTTGAACCGGAGAGGTGGAGAATTGCTTGAACGGGGGAGGCGGAGGTTGCAGTGAGCTGAGATCGCGTCACTGCACCCCAGCCTGGGTGAAAGAGCAAGACTCTGTCTCAAAAAAAAAAAAAAAAAAAGTAGCCAAGCATGGTTGTACACGTCTGTGGTCCTAGCTACTAGCTACTAGGGAGGCTGAGGTGGAAGGATTGCTTGAGCTCAGGAGTTTGAGACTGCAGTGGGCCAAGATCATGCCACTGCACTCCAGCTTGGGCCACACAGAGTGAGACCCTGTCTTGAAAAAAATAAAAAAGAAAGAAAAAGAGAGAGAGAGCGAGAGAGAGGAAGGAAGGGGAGAGAGAGAGAGAGAGAGTCAGAAAAGAGAGAAAAAGAAAAGGAAGGAAGGCAAAAGAAAGAAAAGAGAAAGAAAGAAAAAGAAAGAAAGAAAGAAAAGAATAAAAGAAGGAAAAGAAGGAATTATTGGTACAATGGTGAAAATAAAATTTGTGATAACAATTTTTTAAATTTATAGACAGGTTTATTTTCCATCCCATCCTCCTTTGTATTCTATCTTTTACAGATGAAGAAATCAAGGTTCAGATGCTCTTGGTGACATAGCCAGTTGAAGGGAAAGTACAGACTAGACGCCAGACCTTTACACAGGAGGGAGAGAGTGACCTCAAAGGGGAGTCTGGACTAGTGACTTCTAAGGCCCCTTCCAGACGGAGGCTCTCTTTCTCTCTGCTGCTGTGCTGGTTTCACCCCCTGCATTCACAGCCCTCCCAAGGTAAGAGAACTTCAGAAACCCATGAAGTGCTTCTGCCCCAGGTACTTCACTGAGCTCTAGTTTTCTTTCTGTAACTTGCAAATAGGGCTACAACTCTGACTCTGTGTTTCCAGATTCTGTTTCAATGCAGACAATTAGATGGTAAATAATTCAAGAGAACGGAAACTGGCAAAGTGGTGTGTGATGTCCAAATAGCTATCTTCTTTACCCTCTGGTGTAAACTTCAGGCTCCTCTGCAACTCAGGAGCCCCAGGAGTAAGTGAAATGTACAAACACAGGAATCTCCCGTTTCCATTCCCCTCATTTTTAAATATTGTTTGGGGGTGGGAATGCAGTTTAATCAAAGATTAAGGTAAGACAGTTTGGCTTTGGACGACAGATTCAGACAACTTCTTAGGCATGTCTGAATTTCTTCCCATGGTGGAGTAGAGTGATCAGAATCCAGAGGCATCGGTTTCTCCTTGACCTGAGGATTCATGATCCAAAGTTGTGGTCTCAGAAATATCACCATTCATCCTCTTTCTCTTCGTTCTGGGCAATGAGGGAGACACATTTCACCAGACACTTCTAAACTGCCCTGCCATTAAAGAAGTAGTCTTAGTTAAGACCCGTTGAATTACAGGTAACATAAACCACCTCTGCCCTGCCTAAGAAGAAAAGGATAATGTATTATATGGACATAGGGGTGTCTTATAAAGCCCAAGGGCAAAGAAAATAGAGATGGACCAGCCTCTCAAGAAATTGGAGCTAGAGGCATCATGTTACAGGACTTCAAAATATATTACAAGGCTATAGTAACCAAAACAGCATGGTATTTGTATAAAAATAGACATATAGACCAATGGAACAGACTAGAGAACACAGCCAACTGATCTTCAACAAAGGTGCCAAGAGCTTACACTGGGGAAGGGACACCCTCTTCCATAAAGGGTGCTGGGAAAATTGGATAGCCACATGTAGAAGAATGAAATTGGATCCTTCTCTCTCACCATATGTGAAAATAAATTCAAAATGGATTAAAGACTGAAAAATAAGATCTAAAACTATAAAAATACTAAGAAAAACTCTCTTGGACATTGGCCCAGGCAAAGAAGTTATGACTAAGACCTTGAAAGCACAGACAACAAAAACAAAAACAGACAAACGGGGCTATATTAAACTAAAAATCTTCTGAACAGCAGTTGATTGTTTCAATCAACAGAGTGAAGAGACAACTTGTTGAAAGGGAGAAAATATTTGCAAACTATTCATTCAACAAGGGACTAACATCCAGAATATAAAAGGAACTCAAAAATCTCAAAAAGGAAAGAACAAATAATCCCATTAAAAAGTGGGCAAAGGACATAAATAGACATTTCTTAAAAGAAGACATGTAAATGGCCAACAGGTATATGAAAAAATGCTCACCATCACTCATCATTAGAGAAATAAAAATCAAAACCACAATGAGATCTTACTCCAATCAGAATGGCTTTTATTAAAAAGACAAAATAACATCTGGTAAGGATATGGAAAAAGGGGAAGTCTTTTACACTGTTGGTGGGAATGTAAATGAGTACAACCACTGTGGAAAACAGTGTGGAGATTTCTTTTTTTCTTTCTTTTTTTTTTTTTTTTTTTTGAGACAGAGTCTCACTTTGTTGCCCAGGCAGAGTACAGTGGTGCAATCTCAACTCATTGCAGCCTCTGCCTCCCAGGTTCAAGCAACTCTCCTGCCTCAGCCTCCTGAGTAGCTTGGATTACAGGCACCCACCATCAATGCCTGGCTAATTTTTGTATTTTTAGTAGAGACGGGGTTTCACCATGTTGTCCAGGTTAGTCTCGAACTCCTGATCTCAGGTGATCCACCTGCCTTGGCCTCCCAAGGTACTGGGACTACAGGCATGAGCCACCGTGCCTGACCAGAGATTTCTTAAAAAAACTAAAAGTAGAATTACCATTTGATTCAGTGATCCTACTACTGGGTATCTACCCAAAGGAAAAGAAATCAATGTATCAAAAGGATATCTGCAAACTTGCATGTTTATTGCAGCACTATGCACAATAGCTAAGATATGGAATCCACCTAAGTGTCCATCAATGGAAGAATAAAGAAAATGTGGTATATATACACAATGGAATACTGTTTAGCCGTAAAGAGTGAAATCATGTCATTTGCAGCAACATGGATGGAACTGGAGATTATTATTTTTTTAATCACAAATAGGACTTTTTATTTGCCACTATTTTAAGTCTGAACTTTAAACAGATTCTTGGACTGGTCGTTCATATCCATCAGTTCGTTCAACTTTAGCACCTGTCTTGTCCCCAGTGACTTTTCCGGAACTACTGTCTTCACCATGAAGCTCCATGAGTTTTCCCAATTCAAACTTGAGCTCCTTCAGCATTTTTACTTTTCTAACAAAGACATCATGGAGAGGATAAATAGATTGGCAAGCCTTTTCTATGTCTTTTCCAATGCTGTCTAGAATCAATTTATTGACCATTTCTTTCAAGTCATTTGTCGGCACCTCTTGGGTCATGATTTCCATCATCTTCTGGATTTGGCGGACCTGTTGGTGCTGAGCATAAGAGGTCTTCCGTATCTGATTGTTGCGTTTTTTAGTAAAGCCAACACAGAACAGACGAAGCAAGTAACCATGAGTAGTCTTGACATCAATGTGAGCTTCAGTCATTGTCTGCCATTTTTTGACCATGGAACACATTTTGTCATGAATAAGATCCATGCCATGGAACTTAGTCAGGCAGTTTTTGCCCTGAACATCTTCAGTAATCAGCTTGAATTTTCTAAATGCAAATTCGTCATTCTGCATATCAGCAAGACTCACTTCAAACACACAACCCTTGAGGCTGTCGGATGCAATTTTGGTTCCTTGGGTCCTGGTGACTAGCGTCTTTCCAATATTTCTTATATTGAACATAGCAGCTGCTTTCACATTATACCAATCTTTCTTAGAAAATGGATCAATCACTTTCTTCTTGGCTCCCTTTTTGCTGCCTTTTGTAAGGCGCTTGTTCTTGCCAACCACCATGGTGCTGCTCAGAGAGCCACAAGGCCTGGAGGTTATTCTCTTAAGTCAAAAAAGTCGGGCACAGAACAACAAATATTGCGTTTTCTCACTTATATGTAGCAGCTAAAAAAAATTGAACACGTGGAGCTAGAGAATGGAAAAACAGTTAATAGAGATGGAAGGGACAGTGGTGGAGGGGTGGGTGGATAAAGAGAAGTGTTAAAACATACAAACACACAGTAAGATAAAAGGAATAAATTCAATATTCCACAGCAGAGTAGGATGACTAAACTTAACAAAAAAGTATTGTACTCACATGACGGACACCCTGAATGCCCCTTCTTGATCGCTATGTATTATATACATATAACAGATTTTCTCATGTACCCCATAAATATACACAAATAACTTTAAAAAAAAAAAAAGATACTGGAACTAACTCACGAAGAAAAGAGAAGTGTGTGGCTCAGGTAACCAACCATAGCAGGAGCAAGTGACTGGAATCAGGGACTCCAACATCCCCTGGGTGCTCCCAATGCTTCTCCTTTCCGTGGAAGGGCTTCATTTCCTCCTGCTGGAGACTGGCCTCTTCCATGAGCATGGGGCATAGCCATTGGAAGCTTCCAGACTTATTCTCACAGCTTTGTCACACTTTCCACCCACTGTAAAAACAAAAAGGCTCACAGTCCCCAGTTTCAATGCAAAAAGACTCTGGTCTGCTTGGGCCGCCTGTCCTCGCTGTAGTGGAGATGTGGAGCAGGGGCCATGGTATGCTCTGGGTTTATTCAGCCGTCTATGCCTGGACGACCTCACCATGGCTAAATGTTGAAAGGGTTCCAGAGGGCTTCCTCTTCTGGAGAGGATGTATATGTAGGAACAATTCAACACTCCTACTGAAGCAACTAGAAAAAACAGAGTAAGTTACAAAAATCACCTTTTTAAGACATTGCAGAGTTGTGCCATCAATGAGGACTAATGAATTGAAACTCTGGAGAGGAAAGAGGCCTTTCCCTTTTTTTTTTTTTTTTTTTTTTTGAGACAGAGTTTCACTCTTATTGCCCAGGCTGGAGTGTAATGGCACAATCTAGGCCCACTGCAACCTCTGCCTCCCGGGTTCAATTGATTCTCCTGTCTTAGCCTCCCGAGTAGTTGGGATTGCAGCCATGTGCCACCACACCCAGATAATTTTGTATTTTTATTAGAGACGGGGTATCACCACGTTGGTCAGGCTGGTCTCAAACTCCTGACCTCAGGTGATCTGCCCATCTCGGCCTCCCAGAGTGCTGGGATTACAGGCGTGAGCCACCGCGTCCGGCCAGAAAGAGCCCTTTCTAAATGTGCTGATTGTCTCTGACCATTTTCTTCCCATTTGTTTTTGTTTTGTTTTTGTTTTTGTTTTGAGACAGGGTCTTTCTCTGTTGACACAGGCCTAAAGTGTGGTGGCCAATCATGGGTCACTGCAACCTCTGACCTCCTGGGTTTAAACAATTATCCCTCCTTAACCTCCCAAGTAGCTGGGACTACAGGTATTGTTACCGAAGCCCAGGTAATTTTTTAACCTCTTTTTTTTTTTTTTTTTTTTTTGGAGACAGGGTCTTACTCTATCGCCCAGGCTGGGAGTGCAGTGGTGTGATCTCTACTCGTCGCAACCTCTGCCTCCCGCGATTCAAGTGATTCCTCCCACCTCAGCCTCCCAAGTAGCTATGACTACAGGCATGTGCCACACACCTGGCTAATTTTTTGTATTTTTAGTAGAGATGGGATTTTGCCATGTTTACCCAGGGCTTGCGTCTCAAACTCCCGGAGCTCAAGTGATCCACTGACCTCAGCCTCCAAAGTGCTGGAATTACAGGCATGAGCCACTGCACCCGGCCTATTTTTTCTTTTTTCCTTTTTCTTTCTTTCTTTTTTTTTTTTTTTCTTAGACAGAGTCTTGCTCTTGTCACCCAGGCTGAGATGCATGGTGTAATCTCGGCTCACTGCAATCTC